CAGGGCTGCCCATGGGGATGCTCCCAGCAGAGCCTCCCCGGGCAGGGCAGGGGGGCGGATGCTGCTGGAGCAGGATCCCCCTGCATTGAGGACAGGGTCCCTGGTAGGGAAGAAACACTGGGGTCAACAGGACAGAAGAGCTTTGCTTCTCTCCATAGTCTTCTGCCACACTGGGCAGGGACCCCTGAGGTTGGCACGAATGGCCCAGGGCCACCTGCATCCCACCACAGCTCTCCGTCCCCGCAGCTCCGGACAACCTCCATGCACCTTCGTGCTGCCAGTAGTGCCCTGCTCAGCCATGCATTCCCTCCCTGCGCCCTGGTTGTGCGAGGTGGGCTCCTGCCTGGCCCTGTGGGTGCCAGCCCTGGGCACCAGAGGGGCTACAAGTCTGATTGCAGAGACCAGGTTGAATTCATTGTGGCTGTGGCTGCTTGGTGACAGATAGCAGCCACAGCTAGAGCCGGGGACAGTCAGCCCGGTTCACCTCCAGACATGCCACCCTTATCACCGGGAAGCTGGGGCAGAGATAAGCACAGCTTGCTCCAAGTCCAGCCAAGACAGCCCTGAGCTGGGAGCACGGCAGCGGCTCCACGGGAGGGTGACAGGAGCAGATGCTGCATGTGAGAGCAGGGGACACATCCTCAGCGCCCGGCCGCTGCTTCCCCCTGCCCATTGCCACCCCCAAGGCAAGCCCCTCTGACGGATGCTGAGCCCTTTCCCAGCTCCGCGGTGTTTCCTTCCTCCTCCGGAGCCCCAGGACGGGGGGGTTGGTGAGGGCCAGGGTGCCTTCCACACCATGCGCAGCCCCTCATGCTTGTCCCCGTGTCCCTCAGATGCTCTTCCCGGACGCGGCTGGGTTGCTGGGACAGCAGGAAGGCCTGGAGGGCCGGCACGCTGTGGCTGAGGCACCCCGCTGCCTGCTGACTCGGCTGCCGGTGCTGCCAGCTGCCCGTGAGCCGGTTCCTCAGGAAGCAGCCGTCGGGAAGAGCATCCTCTCGCCTCTACCCGGAAAGCCCAGCACAGATCACAGCCTCCTCCATCCCACCAGGAACATGGGTTTTCCTCCCCAGTTTGAGCCTCGGGCAGCAGGTTCCTGCTGGAATTGTCCTGCGCAAGTGGCATTTCAGGGAGAAATCTCTCCGTTGGGGCCACAGCGGAGCTGTCGGCTGCCAGGTTTGAGGTGGGGAAGACAGGGATGACATTTTTATGGCTCCCGTTCAACCAAAAGCTCAGCCAGCCCTAAACATGTGCCCTAAACACGTGCTCCTGGGGCAGAGCTACCCTGACCCTGTGCAGCCTCGCTTACCCTGAAACCCACGGTCCCACCCAGGGTCCCTCTTGGGGAGCAGAAAACAAATCTGGGATCGTCCCTGAAGCTCCAGAAATAGGGCGAGAGGCAGGAGGGAGCAAAGAGGATTCCTCTGTCCTTGGGGGGCTGCTGGTGGCTGGATCCTTCCCCACGCCAGCTGCTCCCCAGGAGGAGGTGGAGGGCATCGGTGACCACATCCAGACAAAAGCTGTGGCCAAATGTGAGCCATGAGCTTTTGCTGAAAAGAGGTGCACAAAAGCATCCCTCTCCCCCTCCCCGCTGCCACTCCCCTCCTCGGCCGGGCAGAGGATGGCTCCTGGCAGGCGGCGCGGTGCATGCAGTGCAGGCAGCACAGGGCACCGTGAGGCTTGTTCCTCGGCTCCGAAACAATGGGGTGGCCATGCCAAGGAGCAGCGTGCCCTGATGCGGCTGTCTGTCTATCTGCACAGCCGGGGGGGTGGAGGGAACCATCCAGATCACCAGCTCACTGGGACACGGACAACTTGGGCAAGCAACTGCAGGGGGGCACAGGTGGCCGGGATGCAACTGGGATGCAGCTGGGATGCCATCCCACCACCTCCTCCGGCCATGGGGCAGGGCTAGGGGGCCGGGGACCCTCGGCTGGGATGCAGGCAGCACAGCAGACCTGTGCTGCCGTGCTGGGAGATGTAATCGCCCCTCCATTGTGGGCTGCAAAGCAGCCTGCTCCAGGCAGGCAAGCAGGCAGTGTGCCCAGCCGTCACGCTCCCACATCCCTGGACTGCCTGGCTCCGCTGTGTCCACTCTCAGGGAGGGCTGGTGGGCCCCTAGGGGTGGGTGTGCAGGAAAAAGGAGAGCAAGGAAGAGAAGTGCCTCCAGACCCTGGGTCCCACAGCCATCCCCAGTTGGGGCTTCCCACGGGGGTCAGGAGCTGCCGGGCCGGCGCTGGCGGCAGATAACGCTGTTTCCGTGCCAGCTGCTCCCTATCAGCGTGGCGGCGACGGGCAGACGAGATTGCACCCTGAGCGTGCCGTGCCGGGGGGCCGTCGAGAAGGGGTCCTGGCCCCCTTCACCCCACAGCCAGCCCCAGGGCAGTTTATTTTTGCACGAGTTGTTTTCTTTCCGGCTTGACGCCGTCCCGCGCAGCGGCAAGGGCCGGACCGGGGCCCCCCGCGCCTCATTTCCTTGCCATAAAACAACAAAGCGGGGGGCGAAGCGGCGCGCTGGGCCAGGGCGGCAGGTCGCTGGGTCAGGGCACACGCCGCTCCGTGGTTCCTCCATGTGCTCGGCCCCCTTGGCCACTCCCGGACCAGCATCCCCCAGCTGTGTGGCCACCGTGCTGCCCTTCCTGAGGGCCGGATCTGTGACTTTCAGAGCCAGGGCTGCATGTCCATGTGCTGGTGGAAGCTGGTGTGGAGGGCATCACCCACGTTTAGGGATGATGCCCCCTCAGATGGGTGCAACCAGGCACCCCAAAGCTTTTTCCCTGGTTTCTGTCCCTCTGCTTTGCTGCCATAGCCCCAAGCGGACCCTGAAGAGGCTGAACCCTGTGGCTCAGCTACTTCCCTTGGAACCCAGAGCAGGCAGGCGCTGCCTGCACATCCCGGGCACAGACCACCCCCCCGCCACAGCCCACCCGTCCTGAGCCGCTCGTGCCCACGGTGCTCCTGCCACGTGCGCGCTTGATACCACCACTGCCTGGGGACCGCGACCAGTCCCGCCGGTGGGATGTGGGACAAGGGATGGCTCTTCTCCCCCAGCACTATGGCTTCACCGGGGCTTTGCACAGGGCATCGCGAGGTCCCACCAGCCCCAGCGGTGCACCCCGCTCCCTGTCACTCTCCCCCTCCAGGCTGGGGACAATGCTGGCAGCTGGCACATCACAGACGAGGCGTGCGGGCAGCGTGCAGGCACATGGCGAGGCCATCACCCAGGCACGGCGGGCAGGCGGGGGGCCGGGGGCACCCACCCCAGCTCTGGGCTGCGAGCAGGGGGTTGGGAAAGGCGTGTGTTTCCCTTTAAGAGGCAGGCCCTGGAGCTGCTTCCTCTCAGCCCTGCAAGAGCCCTAAACACAGTGCATCTGCCTGCAGCCTGCCTGCACGCCTGCCTGCAGCCTGCCCGCAACTAGCGTGAGTAGGGCTTGGCCTCAGAGCCGGGGCTGGGGAGGGCTGGCACCCCGGGGTGATGGACGCCCTGCTTGCCGTGGAGGGCAGGGAGGGCTGGCATCGCCGTGGAGGGTGCCGGGCATCGCCGCGGAAGGTGCCAGGCATCGCTACGGTGGGCGCTGCAGCACGATGCTCACTGACTGGCATTGCGGTTGAGGACGCCGGGCCCCCCCGGCGTGTGACCGCAATGCTGGGCTCTGGGAGGGTGGCTAGGCACTGGGGGCGCAGGGGGGCCGGGGCTGGTGCCCCCCAAACCGAGGTGCGAATCTGCCGGTGCCTCGAGCCCGCCCTGCCGCGCGGGCGGGCAGCACGTGGCAGCGTGCCTGCCGGGCTCCGGTGCCTGCAGTGCCACGCACCGCTGCCGCTGGGGCTGCGCTGGCCGTCGAACGGGTGCACCCCGCGCCCTCCGGCACTGGCTCCGCAGACCTCGGTGGGTGGCAAGCGCAGGCTGCAGCCCACGGGAAGCTGAGTGGTGGCACCGACCGCGGAGGAGAGCCACGGAGCGAGCAACCCATGGTGAGAGCGGCCGGTTGCACGCCCTGGTCCCCAGAGACCCTCACCATACCCGGTATTGGACCCTGCCGGGGCTGAGCACCCGCTCTCCCACAGCTCCCTGGCCTGGGGCACCTTTGCAGGCACTCGTAAACCTTGTCTGCCCGGGGGGCACAGATGTCAAATCCCTCCCAGGCTTGGAGGGGGGCTCCCGGAGGCTTGCCGGGTGCCGGGCCCCCTCTGCCGGCTCTGGGAAAGCTCGCAAGCCGGCAAATACTGCTGCGAGCTGCCCCGGGTGAGCCCTGTGCAGGGCACCCTTGGGTGCCCGGGGCACCCAGCACTTGGGGCAGTGCAGGTCTCTGGTGCTGCGGGCCAGCCGGGCTTCCCCCCACCCAGGCGACGTGGTTTGGGAGCGATACGCATTGCACGGCGTCAGTGCCAGACACATCTGTGGCGCAAAGCGGCAGCCGTGGGTCAGAGCTGGGGGTCCTCGGCCGGGCTGGCCAGGTGCCGCCGGGCTTTGTCCGGTGCTGGGGCAGTGGAGGCAGCCCCGAGCTCTCTCCTCCCCTCCTCGGCTGGGTTGCACGCTCGGCTGCCTTTGTAAACCGAGCTTGCGGCTTACATCGGGGCTCGGCGGCTTCTCTCCCCCCGCACCCCCTATGTGATGTTTTCCCAGTGCTCCCTGTTCAAAGGATGCCCTGGGATCCCATTTCCCCTGGCAGCCCTGTCCCTGACTTGGTTTCAGCTCCCCGCTCTGGGCTGGGTGCTCTGCAAGCCCCAACGGGCAGCAGTGGCGAATGCAGTGGTGCGTGGTATGACCCAGGTGGGAGGATGAGGATGGAGGGTGCTGGGAGCCCCTGTCAGGGGGCAGGTCTGGGAGCACAGCTCAGGTTGCCTGCACTCTTCCCTGCAGGCAGGCAAGCGGCTCTGCCAGCTCTTCCCACCCCTCTCCTTGCATCCTTGCGATGGGGTCTGCCTGGTACCATGTGCCAGGCAGGGCTGGGGTGCTCCTGGTTAATTTGGGGTGTTACCGCAGCCCTTTCCCCCTCTGCAGCCCGGGCTCAGGATTCTGCCTCGCTCCTCAGTCATGCTGCTGCTCCCGCTGCTCCTGGAGGCCACTCTGCTGCGCCTGGCCAGCAGCTCCCACCACCCTTTCTACAACGGCTTCTACTACAACCACATCATGAACGACAAGGACAAGGGGCAGGAGAAAGGTATATCGGGGATTAGCAGCGTGGCGGAAAGCAGGTCTGGCAGATTGCTGCAAGGGGCTGAAGTCCCCCCCCGCCTCTGGGGTGGGGAGGGGACACATCTCTTGGAGGGGATGTGGGGCCCAGAGGAGCAGATGGGGGTGCTCTGGGGATGCTCGGGGGGTGCTCATGGGATGCTCAGGCAGAAGAGGAGGTGGCTGGAGGGAGGGAGCGGGGCAGCTGCAGGAAGATTTGGGGATGCCACCCAGCCCTGGACCCTAACCCACACTTCATGCCTTCCCTCCCTGTCCCCAGTGGTTTACTTCAATGGGGCCAAGCTGGTGGTGGAGACCTCCAAAGACCCCATCTACAGCTCCAATGGTGCCAATGTCACCCTGCCCTGCCACTACTACTACGAGCCCGACATGGAAGCCAAGCGCAAGATCCGCATCAAGTGGTCCAAGCTGCGGGATGACTACACCAAGGAGCAGGATGTGCTGGTAGCCATCGGCAAGACCTATGTGGCCTTTGGGGACTTCCGGGGCCGCGCTCACCTCCACCAGGCTGGCCGTCGTGAGGCCTCACTGGTCGTCAGCGACGTGCGCTTGAAGGATGATGGCAAATACCGCTGCGAGGTCATCGATGGGCTGGAGGATGAGAGTGACGTGGTGGACCTCCGGCTGCAAGGTGGGGGCACGGTGGGGACCGCATGACCCCCTGTACCAAGCCAGTGAGCCTGGCCTCCTTGGGGGAGATAGCAAGGCAGGGGGGTTGGGGAGCCCAACTGTGGGCAGAAAGGGGCTGGGATGCTCAGTGTGACAGGGTGGTGGCTTGGGGCTGTCTGACTGTGGGGTCTCAGCAGCAAGTGAGCTGCTGTCTGCCCAGCTGGGATGCTGGGTATGCTACTGTGGAGTCAGAGTTGGGGGTGACCCTGTGGCTGCAGCATTTCCTGCCTCTACCCACCCGTCTTCCCGCTGTGTTGCATCATGTGCAACCGCCTCCTCGCCTCCCAGCCCTCGGTGTCCCCATGCATCTTGTGATGAACCTTCGTGACTGATCCAGCCCCTCTTGCTCACTTGCCACGAGGGACCTGACTCAGCCCTGGCTCCACCGCCAAGCCCAGAGCTGGGGAAACATCCCCCTTTCTGTGCCCCTGCCCACCCCCTTGGCCCCTGGACCCTCCCTCCTTTGGTAGCTTGTCCCCACTGGCCCCTGTGACTGTGGTCTGTGGTGGTGGTGGTGCACATGTTCCCATGGTCCATCCACCCCTATGACAGTGTTCCATCCATCCCCATGTTGGTGGTCCATGTGTCCTGGGATCGTGGCCCATACATCCCTGTGATGCTGGTCCTTGTGTCCCTGTTCCTGTAGCCTGTGCATCCCCATGACGATGGTCTGTTCATCCCCACAGAGGTGGTCCATGTCTCCCTGGGACCACTGTCTGTGTGTCCCCAGGAGCGTGGCCCATACGTCCGTGGTGTGGTGGTCCCTGCATCCCTGTTATCATAGTCTGTGCATCCCCGTGTGTGCCGGTGCTGTCCCCATGAGGGTGGTCTTCGTGTCCCCAGGACCGAGCCCCTCTGTCCCCGTGCCACAAGATGTCGCTGGCAACTCGCTGTTGGCAGCTGCACGCCCAGAGCAGCCCTGTCCTGAACCTCAGGCCGTGCCACCCTGGGGGTGGTCCCTGTCCCAGAGCCTGAATTTGGGATGGGTTGGGGACCCCTGTGGCTCCTGTGGGGGCTGGACTTGGGGCGGGTGGGCTGCCTGCAGAGCCGGCTGAGTGCCCCGTCTGCCCCCAGGCATCGTGTTCCCCTACCAGCCTCCTCATGGGCAGTACAGGCTCAACTTCCACGAAGCCGAGCGAGTGTGCCAGGAGCAGGGTGCCATCCTCGCCACCTTCAACCAGCTCTTCCAGGCCTGGAGTGAGGGGCTGGACTGGTGCAATGCGGGCTGGCTGGCTGACGGCACCGTGCAGTACCCCATCCACCTGCCCCGCAAGCCCTGCGGTGGGCTGCACCTCGCCCCGGGCATCCGCAGCTATGGCCCACGCCACCGGCACCTGCACCGCTTTGATGCCTTCTGCTTCTCCTCTGCACTCAAAGGTAGGGGCTGGGAAGTGGGATCCTGGAGAAAGATGCTGTGCCCCATCAGTGGCATCCCATGTCCTCCCTCCCCCTTAGGGCACAGGGCTCAGCCTGTGTGGGGATGCTCCAGGCAGGGATGCTCTGGATGGGGATGCTCCAGATGATGCTCAGCACTGATGCTCCCATCTCCCTCCTAGGAGAGGTTTTCTACCTGGACCACCCGGCCGGGATGACGCTGGAGGAGGCCAAGCAGAGCTGCCAGGATGCGGGGGCTGAGATCGCCCGGGTGGGGCAGCTCTACTCCGCCTGGAAGTTCCTGGGGCTGGACCGCTGTGATGCCGGCTGGCTGGCAGATGGCAGCGTCCGCTACCCCATTGCCAAGCCCCGGGCCAACTGCGGCCCCGCAGAGCCTGGTGTCCGCAGCTTTGGCTTCCCCAGCAAGGGCAGATTTGGGGTCTTCTGCTACAAGGAGAGATAAGGAGCTGGGAGGGCTCCTTCCTGGCCGGAGGATGTTTCCAGCCTGACAGTGCCTGGCGTCAGGTGTTTCCCAGGGCTGTTTTGGGGGTGACTGGGGGGAGGTGGGGCGGGGGGGGGAGGCTTCGTTTTGTTTTATTTTGTTTCCTTCCTTTATATTTTCCACATCGTAGCAGCTGGCACATGCAGCTGCTTGGGGTGGCTGCCGGCTGGGGCAGTGTGGGACCGTCCCTGGCATGGGGTGTGCACGAGGACGATCCACATGGGCTGCTGCCACCCCGCTTGGCCTCTGCCACCCCGTGGTTGGTGGCCCCTTCCCACGGTGGCAGCGTGTCACTGACACCCGCCTGCCCTTCCAGGCTGGTCCTGCCCCTGAGCTCGCAGGGTGGGAGCGAGGCAAGGCTGAATTTGGCCAGAGGCAGAGAGTGGGTGCCTCTGTTGCATCCTGGTTCCTCTTCCAGCCCCATCCCCATCTCACTGAAGGATGCCGTTGTGCCTGTCCCCACGGGAGCGCCAGTGCCTTATCTCAATGCGCCCCTTGCCTGGACACCACTTGAACTCTGGTGCCTTCTTCTTCGAGCGTTTGGTTATGAAAAGATGTATTTTCCTGGACCTCTTCTAATAAATCAGTGGAGAAAGCCCTGGAGCAACATGGCTGTGTCCCCATCTCTGTCCCAGCATGAAAGAGGGGTCTGTCAAAGCGAGAGGATTTGGTGATCCCTGGCTGGACATCCGGGACTGTCTCGTCCTTGGCTGAGCATCATCTCATCGCTGCTGGCTCAGCCCTGCACCCACCCGAGCTCCTGCAAGGGCCTTGTGCTCCCACATTAATGAGTGTTAATCAACCCCCTGGGTGTCAGGACTGAAAGCTGGAGAGTGAAGCGGTTCCTGCTGGTGATGGGTTTTAGGCATGTGGGTTAACCCCCTCCTGGGGTGAAAGCTGAATGGGGGAGGGGTGATGTCCTACCCCAGGATCCTTCTTTGGTTGGGACTTGGGACCCGCCCTGTTGTCCCCAGGGCTGCACCCTTGGGTGCTGGCTAGGACTGAGCTGGTCCCTTGTAGCCTGGAGTACCCTGGTTGGGCTCCCCTTCCTTTTGTGTTGCCTTGCCATGGGAGACCGCCCCCCCCCGACACCCCCCTTCCCCCAAAAAACAACACTGACAAAGTGCTCATTCTGATTTCACTCTCTTTATTATTTATCATTCTTTCAAAATAGGTTATGTTCAAAAATATAAATAGGTGCAGGGAACGCTGGTGCCCCGCACGGTCCCCTGGAAAGAGCATGTCATCCTGGGATGGGTGCTGCACTGCAGGGAGGGCAGCAGGAAAGCAAAGAGGGGCCGCAGCCCCCAGTGCCCAGATCCTGGGTCTCAGCATCCCCTCGCCTCCCTCCTCCTGCACCTCCTTCCACCACAGCCCCCCGGCCCTCCCCACCCGCCCTGACGTGCTGCAGCAGTAGGAGGATACTGGAAAAAAACCCCCAAAACCCCAAAAGGTGCTGTTCACCCCGGAGATTAAATAACAGAAATAATTACATTGTTCGTGGATAAAATCAGGAAAAAATAATCATCTTTATTATTTAACTTAACCCCCCTGCCCTCTGCAACCCCCCCCTCCCAGTCCCCGAAGGCACGAAGATAATTGGAACCGGACGGTTAGTAAAAATGCTGAGATCTAATTCGCTTTGCTTTGGTGCTTGGAAAAACATTAATTTTTTTTTTATATATATACACAAAGGTGGGTTTGTCTTTAATATAGTTTTTTTTTCCTTATATGACAAAAAAGCAACAAGAAGAAGAAGAAATCAACTCTGTTAATATAACTGTTCCGTTATAAATCTCTCTTTCTCGCTTTCCCCCTCGGTCTCTCTCGCCCCGCTCTAATGGGTGGGTCTGTGCACGGCTCTGCCGCTGGGTCTTGACCGGCTCCTGGGGCTCCTCTTGTATAGCCTGCGCTGGTAGTTGGAGGCTATGGAAGAGGGAGGAGAAGAAAAGGCACCTTGTTAGTAGGAGCTGGGACAGAGATGCTGCTTGTCCTGCGCTGGCTGCCCTGGCCCCTGGCTCCCTGGAAAAACATGGGCAGCCGCAGGCAGCACTGCCTGGCGGGTGGCTGCGTGTGCCCCGGCACCAGCCTGCCTGCCCGCGCAGAATTGGCCCTTCTCTCACCCCTGCAGCTGAGGTTTGCTCCACCCAGGGGTGAAGGTCCCCAATGCCTACTGGGAGCCCAGGCAGGAGCGTCCTCTCCACAGATGCTTGTCCCATCCCTTCCCTGTGCCCAGCTGGGAGGGCAGCTCTGCTAATGCGGTGGGCATGGGGACCGCTTCCCCATCTCGCCCGCTGCCTATCAGTCCCTCCCTGGTCCCCTGGGACAGGGAGGGAAATGCCCATCAGCAGTGGGATGTGCTCAGGGCACAGGAGGGGAAACAGCCCAGCCTGGCTGGCAGGGACAAGGTTTCTGCCTGATCTTTGCTGCCAGTCTCCCTCGAAGCTAGCACCACTCCAGTGTGATAATTGCAGGAGGGTTTTGATGGAAGCAGCAAAAGCTGGCTGGGAACAGCCCAGGTCTCTTGGTTGCTGGCGGTCCATGCTGGCAGCAGCCTGCGACTCTCCGGGTCTGCGGCAGAGCCAAGGGAATCAGCAGCTTGGTCTGCACCACATGGTTGCCGTTGGACACCTCCTCCATCCCTCCTCCTTCCATCTCCTCCCTGGGGCGGAGGTGTGTCCCTTAAGCCCAGATCGACTTTCCCTGGCTGTGGGACTGTTGCTTTAGCTGGAATTGCCCAGCTGGACCAGAACCTGGAAAGGAGGCCACTGGACAGATGCGATTTGGCCAAGGCCGACAAAATTATTGGGAAGCTGCAGGCGAGCAGGGATGGGACAGGGGTGTAGGCAGGCCTGGGAGTGGGGTGGGACGCCAGTGGGAGAGGGCTGGCTGCCATCAGCTGGAGGCCTGACAGGAGAAGGGTCAGGACCCCAGCCCGGTCCCTTGGTTTAGCTTTGCTACAGGGCTCCTGTCCGCTCCCAGGGCAGTGGGATGCTGGGGAAGGGCTCGAGGGGACCGCAGCTCCCCCCTCCTATTCTCTCTGCTGATGCGGGTGGTGCTAAATTCACCCTTTTAGAAGCCACTTCTTTTTCTTTCCTTTCTTTAAGTAGCCTGGGCCCTTAGCAAGCTCCTTGTTGCTCTTTCCTGGCTCTGGAGCTGCCCCTACCCTCCATACGTGGAGGAGCCTCCAGGGCAGGAATTGTCTGGGCTGCCCCCACAGCCAGACCCCATGGTCCGCACCTGCCCAGAAGATGCCAGCTCCCATGGCCCCATCACAGGGGAGCTTTCAACAAGCCAAGGAGACCACAATGTCCCCTTCTGCCTGGCTCAGAGCTAACCTGCACCCTAAGACGATGACCCCCTCATTCCCAGCTCCTTCTCCCAGCTGCAGGGATTCATCAGCCCTAATCTGAAGGTAAAGGGGACGAGACATACGGTTCATGCAGGATATCCGTGGCTCCTCCCACTGCCCGTTGGGCTGGCACCGAATCGTGGGCACGTGGCGCTGGATGTAGCCTTGGTTGCACTGGTACCGCACCATGGAGTTTATTTCGTAGCGGTCCTTCTTCCGACCGAAGGTCCTGGCATTCTCCACAACAGGGGGGTCCCCGCAGGCCACTGCAGGAGGTGGGCAGAAACATGGAGAGCTTGAGGAGTCCTGCCTGGCTGAGCAGGCAGCTCACACTCGGGCAGCTCCTGCCTGCCCGGCAAAGGCTGGGCACGCACAGCCTTGTCACTCCTCTTCTCCCATGCATAAAACCTTAAATCCCTTTGAGATTGCCTCTGTCCACAAATTTAGGGGCAGGGGGATATGGAAATTCTGTGATGGGTCTTGAAATTAAGCAGCAGTCTGCCTCAGGGCCCCATTCCTGCTTCCCAGAGAGGCAGTGAGAGCCAGGCATCACAACAGCCGCTGGCATCTGTGGGAGGGCACGGAGCTGGTATGTGGGAGTGATGCTGCAGCCAGGGTATGGCTCTGCCTGGGGACATGAAACCCCATCCTTGGTGACTTGTCTTATTTGTTTTCAAGGTCTCGGGAAACTTTCTCCTAGAGCCCTGGCCAACTTCTATTGCTAATTCCTTCCACCTCTTTGATGACCCTTTGCAGTGAGAAAACCCATGTTCATGTGCACTGGGGGCTCCACTCCAGCCCTGCAGCCACTGCCTGAGCCCCCCATACTTGCTGGCACAGTGCAGGGTGCTGACCTGTTCCTTTCTTGCAGGTGAAAGGGAGGTGATAGTTGCAGGGAACGTCGTTCCATTCGCCTTGCTCGTGCCAGATCATTACAACGCAATCCTCACCCGCCGCAAAGAAGTTATCAGGTTGGTTGGGCCGCCAGTTCTCAAATTGCTGCCAAGAGAGGAAAGCCTTTCACCTCAGGCTGAGCCCTTCCCTCTCCTACACCCTCCTTCATCCTTGTTGCTGCCTTGCCCATGCATCTCACCAGCAGAGACCATGGGTTGCCAGCACAGCTATTGCAGCGGTTATTTCTGTCGTGATGGCACCCAGTAGCTTAGCTGACCAGCTTTACTAGAGGCTTGGAAAAACCATGAGCCCTACAAAGTTTAGGGCTGCCTCCACTCAGTGCTCAACCCAAGCACTCAGCATGTAACTCATGGGGCTCTTCCTACCCAAGGGGAACCTCTTCCCCCCCAAAAGCCAGCACCTGGTGGGGTGCTCACCAGGGAGTGCCCGTCGGACCAGCGGAAGTCGTTCTCCACAGCTCTGTCACTGAGGCCGATCCACTGGTAGTCCTGCGCGTGGCCTGGAAGAGCCAGAGAGGGAGAGAAGAGTGGGTCATGGTTCCCCTACACCTTGCTGGAAGTGTTTCTTTGCCATCTGAGCTGTCTCTGGCCCTGGAGCCTCTGGGTCATTTGGCTCCTTCCCAGTCACTAGCCCCTGATGTCCTTTTTTCCCCGCATCATGCTTGTGCATCTCCCTCCCCACTCAGTGCGCCATGAGCATGGACCCACCCACGCTGGCATGGGTTACTGTGCTGGTTGGATCAAGTGAACATCTTGTGAACAAGGCACGTCAGCAACATGGTAAGAGCAAAGATCTGTTCTAGCCGAGAAAGGGCCCTCTTCTGTCTCATGGCTGGACAGTTCTTCCTCTCCTGCACAAGGGTGAGGCCTTGTTAGGAAATATCTGAGCAGCAGTGGGGGAAATTGTAGTTTTTACATCATTTTGGATAAATCTGCCCATAGACTCAGAGTCCAACGGATGGACCCCTGTCCGGTCTCAGGCTGCCCTCAGCACTCACTGTTCACAAATTCTTGCTCCTCTGGGGTGATGATACTGCTCAGGTGGGCTTGATGTTGTCGGCATCTGGTCTCTGCATCCATCCAAGTCTCCCTCTCTTCAAAGTGCCTGTAGCAGTGGCCCTGGAACTTGGTCCAGCCTTCCTCACAGTTTTCCAGGTCTGAAATACACAAAGGAGGGATGAAAAGGAGTTGGTGCATGGGTCTGGAAGTCTTCCAACTCACCTTTTAGCAGCTCATGCTGTCATGGCATGGGGCAACACGTGGTCACTTCCACTAAAAAGCAAACCCTGACACTGTTGCCTGTGGGAAATCCCAAGGAAAATTATCAGAAGGCATCCAAGACACGCAGAGAGGGGAGCCCCTGTTGAAGACCCCGTGTTTGCAGTAGAGTGACCAGAGTAGAAAACTTGAGGGATACAAACTTATTCCTGAGCAATTCAACCCCTGTGTCATGTTCCTGGACTTTGTTTTTGAGTAACTGACCAAGCAAGAACCTCTCTCTTTCCACTTGTGCTGGCCCGCAGAGTTTTCTTGCTTTGGAAAGAAACTCCAGAACCTGAATTCAGATGCCCAGAATCAACACATGTATGTTGAAAATGAAAGAGGGGAGGAGAGCCCAGGTTCAAGTGGTTGCATCGCTTGGTGTGGTTCTGGGGCTCTGGAGGAGAAGCAAGCCTACCAAGATGGGAGAAAAGAGACGGAGGCAAGAACTTACCATGGTGGAGAGAGAAAATGAAATCTCAAGGAAAGAGCTTGGAAGCAGCTAGAGAAGTACAAAAATATCTTAACTTTTCAGAACATCTTCTACCATCTGAGAAACACTGAAGAGTTGAACCCATTAACTAAAAAAAAAACCCAAACAAACACAGATGGGGGAGAGCAGAGGCAAATGGAGAAACCACCACAAAAGACCTTCAGCAGCTCCCATGCAATGCAACACCACACATCTGCTCCATGTGACCAAAGGAAACAGAAGATGAAATGTGTTTAATCTCAGCCTTTCAGATGCCCAATCTACCATCCTTTCTCAGGCACTTGCTGCTCTTGGAGTGGTGGGCTTTCATGAATCCTCATGCCTCTCTCCCTTTCCAGTAAGGTTTTCTGTACTCAGTTTCTTTCTTCTTTGTTAAAGTTGGTAGGTCAAAGCACTTGTCTCCTTCAATCACACTAATTCCTCCTAATCCACCGTTCTGGCATTCTTCCAGCTGGAGATTGCAGACTCTTCATAGATGTTGGAAGGGTTGGTAGTTAGTTGAGGCATTAAAAGCTTTTTCTGCCTTCTTCAGAGATCAAATGGATTATCTGGAAGTAGCTGAAGCTCTAAGGATTCTTGGTCTTTGCAGGCCAGATAGCTTGCAGAAGGTGAGCAGAGAACACAGTCTGTCTTTTAAGACATTTTTCCAGCAGCTTGAATGGCACCCCTTGTCATCACAGGGGGATGGGACAGCACACAGCACGGAACCTCAGCAGGACATTTCCTAGGAGAAAGGCCACTCTTTTCTACATAGCGTTGCTTACAGGGAAATATGACAGCAATAATCTTGGGAAAGAATGATGAAAATCTTGTTCCCTGGTAGGGACACTGTTGTGGTGACAAGAAGGACTGGCTGTGTGCACAGATGGCAGACCTCACCTTCGGTGTCCTGCTGTTCTTGGAGACTGACAGAATGGATGCTCTGCCTCATGGGAATAATGAAGATTTACATTTCCCACTGGATTTGGGGCACTGGCTTCCTCTTGCATCTCCCAGCCTATAGCCCTCAGGCATCATGAGCCCATAAATCAGAGAAGAGAGGAAATTAAGTCTGGCTTGGACGAAACAAGATCATAAGCAGCTGCATGGTAGAAAGTCTCTTCTTGGATTACAGGGATCTCCAACAACAGGTAGCATGGATGGGTAAATCAGGAGCTGATTAGGTTGTGTTAGGAAAGTGATGTTAAGACAGCACGATTCCTGCCCAGATGGTCCAATGATCCTTGAGCATTCTTCTTATGGTCTACTCCATATGTTCATATTGGAGCAGAAAGAGAGATGCAGAGAAAGGGGAGGAGAAAACCCAATATATATTATCATTACTCGTGCCAAGGTGAAGAGACACTGCAACGTTATTTCTCTTGTTTGAGCAAGGCAGAAGAACTTCCCCTCAGCTAAGCTGATAAAAGTTTGGACTTTCATCAGCTTTAAGGAAAAAAAAAACAACTTTTTTTCTTTCCTTGTAGAAATAAAAATAAGTATTAGTGCAGGTCAGAGTACCTAATTTTGATGGAAAAATAGATCACTTCACATTTTCTCAAAGATATACATTCCCTGCTGATTTTGCCACAGGAAACCATGTTGAAGAGATGACAAAAATATCATGCTATGTCAAATCGGTGGAAATTCCTGGAGTGAACGAGGCTTCTCTCAGCTGCATCTTCACAGAAGGAAACACAGTCATTTTTCATGGCTCAGTTGAAGCATCCTTCCATGAAATTCTAGTCTAGCAGAGAAAGTTTGCCTGGGGTGAAGATGTATTCAGATATTTCCCTACTGTTACAGATGAACAGAAAGACCCTTGACCCAAAGAGACAGCGACTTCTGTAATCAACATTGTTAATGATCTGTATGGAACTTCACTAGAGAAACTTAAAAATGAGAAAGTTGAAGAAGACACCAGAAGCTCCTGCTTAGGAATCTTAGAGGACGTGGTGCTGTGACAGACAAACTAATCAAAATATATAAGCAAAAGTCTCAAAGCTTTTCCCTAGTGTATTTCAAGCTGCTGTTAGAGGTTAGCTTACTGAGATGAGGGCAGGACTGATGAGAGCACTTGGGATCAACTTTTTTTTGGGGGTAGAGTGGGAACAAAGTAGTGAGGCAGTTAGTAAGATTAGCTGAAGCCAGGTAGGCCGTACCGATCTCACACAGGTCCCCTCCGTAGCTGGGAAGGCATAAGCATTTGAAAGAGTCGATGCCATCAACGCAGGTAGCTCCATTCAGACAGGGGCTTGAGTGGCACTCATCGGTGTCTGCAAGAAATCAAGGGCTTCCATTAGGGCTCTGGGCAGACAACTCCACCAACAGGAGAACTTGTTTCCTTGAGTGTTTAGGAGGGAATATCAGTTGTCTGGGGAGAACTTGGGAGTTCCTAGGGTCTTATTTTAAAACATACTGCCACTGCTGCTGCTGGAAGAATGAAGGCAAGAGACCCAACCCACCCTACAAGGAAGACATTGGTTTTCTGTCACTTGATGGTTGAACACCACTCTGAAGATATCAGTACAAGCTCAGCAAGATGCATCCAATACACAGAACTCAGTGTCTTTGACAGCTGTGGTAACTTCCTTGTCTGCTGTCTCTGCCTGATGCATCAAACATGCAAACTTGTGTCTGTGTCTCCACTGGCTATGGGTCTACAGGGAAGAATGTGGAATTTTCATAAAAGATGGAAACATCCTGAAATAGACCTCTATCTCCTAACTGGCCTTCCCGGTTGCCAGCACTCATGACTAGTTTCTTCTGAACCATAATTTAGATGAAGTTCTGGGGCAAGAAATTTCTTCTCAGTGAAGATGAAGAAAGTGCAGAGAAGAAAAAAAGTAGGTTAAAAGGTGGTTCAGAGGCCCCCAATTTTTTCCCTTTGAGGATCTTAGGCCTAGCTATGTGGGCCTCTTTCTTGGTGAAGAATACTGCAGTGCAGTGCCATTTTCTCCAGACCTGTCCCCACTATGCACTATCTTGCTTGCAATGGGACTGGAAGAAGCTGGTACATCTTTTCCAGCTGTGGGTTCCGTCTTGGTGGAGGAAAATAATCTTAGTTTCCCATCTAAATAGAACAGCTCTTAAGATCCTTGTGCTTTTCTGGAGGTGAAAAGAGAAGTTGGTATGGGAAGAGTTTGGCCCTCAACTCTCCTATGTTTCTCAACTTACTAATTAGCATAAGCCTAGGTAGTAAATGCCACCGTTTCATAGTACTTCCATCCCCTGCCAACCTGGTGCAGCAGGAAGAAAGCATAGATGCTCTGAAGAAGGCCACAGGTAGCCAGTTTGTATCTCTATATTGTAGAATCTAGCTTGTATTGGAAGTAAAAGCTCTTCTCCCAGCATCCCTCCAGACTGAGCCTTAATCCTACTTATTGAGCTTTGGAATCAGAGGAAGAGTCATTCAGAATGGAAAGATTTCAGAGACGTTCAACTCGGAAACAAGGAAGAAGACTAAGGAAGAAAGTGGGAGCACATCCACGCAGGTTAGGTTAAATGTTGGCTGGTTAGATCCTCATGCGAGACAGCGTTTCTCTCTTTCACACTCAGAAGAAATGTAAGGCTTTAAAAGTGCTGACTAACACTCCATGCTCTTCTTGTGGATGAGAGGGGTTAGTGAGGAAACATTCAAACATGGTAAACATGCTGGCTATGGAAATACCAGAGCAGAGCAGCAACTCCCTGAGGTCCGTGTTCATCTTCTGACTGGTGTATATTCAGTCGGATATTGTCTCCCTGCAGAACTGTGGCCCAGCTGCTCAGTGTCTCCAGACATATGAGAGCAGATGCACGTTATACCCCATGTGGCTGTCTAGTCACTCAATGGTCAATGTCTGATATGTCAACTAAAAGTTGACATGTTCTGTAGCGTGCCTAAGTGATGGAGAAAATTCTTTCTGACCTTGGATGGTAAATCCGTTCATGCTTTGGAGCATGAAGATTGTCATCATTCCAGGCTGTATCACTGCGAGGAATGCAATTATTCCTCAAATGGCTGATGAACTTCTTACTCCAGTTTTGCAGTTCTTCCCTGAGAGAAGGAATTTTTTCCTCTGGATTGCCCTTCTAAATACTCAGTAATGCCTTCTTGATTTCTTTGTTCACTGCAACATGAAAAGAATTCCTGTTTTCATGTCACTAATAAATACTTCGAGACTTTCCAGAACAAAATGGGGGTCACAGGCCTAGTAGAAGAGAGGAGCTGAACTTGACTGACTATTGCTTTTTAGTTACACTTGGAGTTCCTAGAAGATAGAGAGCATGAAGAAAAATGAGGTATCCTGAGGGATCATTACAACTCTAGACGCCTCCTGGGCTTCCCAACAGCAGTGGCAGCAGAAGTTCATGTTGATTCCAGTGGGCTCCAGCTGAACAAGTAAGGAAAGGCTCTCCTTTGTCCTTTAGGCTCCATGAAGTGGAAAGCACGCTGCAGAAGTGGGAACAAAGCACGTACGAGAGCTAAAGCAGAATGTTTAGCAGGGAAAAATTAGTCTTCAGCTGTCTTTGGCCACGTGGACTAAAACTTGGTACATCCAAGATCTCTTCTGAGATGCAGGAGACCTGCTGTGAGTTGCCATTGCTGGTCTTGGAGGAGGAGGGAGCAGGCACACACATGCAAAGTCATTGCCACAAATTTCCAGCTGGGAAATAACACTGGAACAGAATTTCCTTTTACAGATATTGTATATAATATGATTGCACATATTATATATGCTGTAAAAACAAATCTCTGGCTATAATATATATGTTATATATCTCTCCATACATATACATATATATTTTTATATATGACACATAGAGAAAGGGTGTGTACTTGTAGGTAGTATTGGAAAAACAGACAACAAATATAAGTGACACAGACAGGTTTTCTTCCCAGGAGCGTGCTGCAGATGGCTAGAGAGAAGATGTTTTAAACCCATGATGATCATAAATACCAAACTCCCCCTTCAGCCTGTTGTGCTGTTGGAGCTGTGACCCTGTCTCCATCTGGATGTAGAATCACCTCACCATGCTGATATCAGGAAACTCAAATATATCTGCTGGTTTGGAGGAAGCGTTGCTGATTGTGGTCCTCCCAGAAAATCTGGGTCTTGAGGGTCTTTTAGAAAAGTAAGTTCTAAATGGTAAAATTGGCAGTGATGTTGTCTCTGGAAACCCTGACAAGTTGGTTTGTGGGTGCTTCTAGGATATCGCATCTAAGCTGTAGGATTTATGGGAGGTGAGAACGCCAGTAAAAAAAAATAATCCCATCTATCACGCAACGCTTGGCTATTTTCTTCATAACCTTTTATATACCATAAATGTGTCCATTTCCACAAAGTTTAGAGCTAGATGAGGTCAGTAAATCACTGTACACCTCTTCAGCCAGCTGAAAAGCCTGCGGTGTGCTAGGTGTCCAGCTCTGCCCAGCTTGGCGCGAGCCCCCATTTCCACAGCACCAGCTGCCACATACCATGACACTCAAGGATCTTACACAGACGTGAGCTATTTATTTGCTTGGGTGAGTAGTCATTCAAAAAGTCAGCTCCGCTTTGAGATGCAGCTCAAGTGCTTATCAACCGACAAGAAGACAAGACTACTGCTATTATTACCCAACGCTAACAAAGGACAAGTGATGGGGCTTGGGGTGCAGAACAGAAGCAGCCCTTGCTTTCAGGAGCTTCAGCTCTAAAACAAAGACAGGGGAGAAAATGCCTTGGGCTGCCAAGAATAGGAAGCCCATATAGAACATATTATTAACTCACTTCTTGAGGATAATGCAAAATTAGCAGCTCTTCAGAAGACGATTTGTACTGCGGTTAATATCACCCAGAAGTTGCAAAAGATTATTCAAATCTATTGTCACAACAGTTTCTATTTTCTGCTACTAATAGGACCCAAGGTCTAACTTCTAGATTTTTTTTAAAAATTAAAACAATTAAAACAAAATATCCAATGTAAACAGGATCTTGCATCTGGAAGATGTAAACTGTTGGCTGGAGAAAGTAAGGGGAGTTACATAGCTACAATGCAAACTTTGAATTTGTTTCACCAGTTTCTTCCTAAGATTTCTTTTACATTGCCAGACACATACTATATTTAGTCAGAACTATTTTCTTTTGGTGCAACTAAACACAACATAAGTATTCTCCCAATGCCTTTGAAAACAATTTGCTGTACTAGATCATGGAAACTGGAAAGAGAAATCCTTTAGAAATGAAAGAGAAATAGATTGGTCCTGGTTTTGCTCAGAAGGCAAATGGCATACAAAAGTGAACATGCAGTGTCAGTGGTGAGAAGGAAATGCTTTTAAAAGCCTTCATCCGAAGCTAAGAAGACAATACTAGAAACAGTGCTAACACTTTTTAAAACAATACAGTCTGTACATTTCTCTCAATGGCAGCCTGTAAGGAAGATGAGCAAGAACACCCATTAAACAAGGTCAGCTTTGTGCTTAAAACATCTACTAAGGAGAAGCAGCTTGTGAACAGAGGGGATGCTATCACCCAAGCCCTGAACAAACTGTATAGTTTCCCTGAAGCTATGAGTAACCGGTTTAGAAATATACCCTAGGATTTAAACTCCTGGTTTTGTTCTGCAGAGAGGAAAATGTAAGACAGAAAGGCAAGGCATTTTCAGGATGTCCAACAGTCCCTGTTGTGCCCCTCACCCTTTCTTTATAGGTCTCCTTACAAGTGCGATTATGCAAACAGGGACTCGGAGACCAGCTAGATAATTATCTTCTAGAGACTGAGGAAAAAAAATAATCCAGATACAAATTAAATTTGCTTTTCAGAGACTTCTGGGAAGTTTGAACTGCTGATCTGATAGCTCAAACAGCGAAGAAAAACATTGGAGCAATTGTAGGGTGACTCCCACAAGAAAAGAATAGGAGGAGTGAGGGAAAATAGTTCTTTCACATTTTAAGTAAAACGCTAGCATTGAACATCACATAGCCAGCTAGTGACTTACGAAGAGCAATTAAGTCATTAAAATAATTAACTACAATAATTAAACCAAACCAAAGCCTCCATGCAGCAGAAGGGGCAGATATTGCTACAGTCTTAAAAAGCTATATTCATCTAGAGAACAGCAAGTTTCCAGGAGAACCTGTTGATCTGCTGGGACCTTCAATTTTTCCAACACTCCAACACAGAAGGAGACCTCAGGAAATTTGGACATCTCTGCCTCCAAAATATTATGTGTAGAAGTAAACTGACATGTATATAACGCTAATCCAGGACTGTAGGTTGCCTCTTCGGAGAAAGGTTTTAATTAAGCTACTAAACTTCTGATGCAAAATAGACAGTATGTCCAGGAGACATCAAATCATCTGGTCAGCCACAAATGGCCGGTGCTTTTGCTTGTCTCTCAGCCAGGACTGGTACCTCCATCTGCTCCTTGCGAACATACTCTTCATTCCACATTAGATGAAACATTATGCATCAGGTGAATGTTTTCTAGACTTTTTTCTTCTCGGTTGATCTTCTGTGGACTAACAAAATTCTATTCTTTGGAATTCCAGGGCATGAAGAATGAGGAGAGCCCATCGAGACCTTTCCTCATTTGGATTCTAACCTTCAGCTGTGTCAGGGCCATAGGCAGCAGACTTCATGAACTCGTTTCACCAGAGACAAGCAAAACTTAACATAAATAGCTGCCATTTCAGCACATTTCTCTTTTTTTCCCCCAATCTGAGTGAAGTTTTTAAGTCATTGACTGGTCAGAGTGCTCCAAACCACAGCCTTTCACTGAAGCGCCAGCATGCCTTTTTCAGCTAATAATTATTTGTCTTCAAATGTTACCAGAAGCAAAAAGACCCGCTGAATTGGCAAAACTCTGGATGAAGAAGCCAAGCCTATGGACAATACTTCAAGCTTGTGGGGTTCCTGTCCTCGTGGAGAAATCAAACTGCTGACTAAAGACGTGCATGCATAGCCTTCAATTTGGTTAAATACTAAAAAATACTGGCATTCCAAGCGTTAATCTTCGGTCATCTTATGCTTCTGGCTCTGGCTTTTAGAGAGAAGTAGAGACTACAGTAGAGCAGAAAAATATCATTCTTCTTAGATCATCCCACTAAAAAGACTGCTGGATCTAACCCTTCAACAACAGGACAAGAGGGCAACAGCCGGATGCCTCCCTGCTCCTCACTCTAAGCTCCTTCTGTAAGCTGAGCTATCTTCACCCGTGCTTTAATGTTAGTCAAAATTAAATGCACTTAATGGGCATCCCTTACATCCTACAAACTCTGAGTACAGCACAAGGCACAGATGTTAGAACTGATCTTTTTTGCAAGAGCTAAATTTCAAGACTGGGAAGCTTCAGGTAAAAAGGCAGCAACAACATGGGAAGTAGCATTTTGGGTTCCAGCCTATGGCTCTTCCTTGTAGACTTTCCATGTTCACAATCCCCAGAGCACTGTAAAGAGTAATGACCCCAAAAAGGGAATCTGTGATTATTTTTCCTTTTCCCCACTTCTTTTGTCATTTCTTTGCTCTAATTCTCTAGAAGAAGTTCACCTTGTTGCAGGGGTGTTGCAAGTTCATGGTCAATACACTTTCTTGCCACCTGGATGATCTTCCTTCAGACTCTGACCAGGACTGTATTTGACCCTATAGGGACACTGTAGTAAAGAAGCTTACCAATAAAAAGAGAAGTTTTACCTTAGAATATCTTCCCTGGTGGGAGCACCAGCCACACATGTGCACTCAAGCCCATCTCTAGTTTATGAGGAGTCTACAATTAAACTTCATGTAGTGGTTGCTTAGCTCTCCTTGTCACCTGTTAAGAAACCCCAGCTGCTACATCGTCATCTCTGTGACTTGGAAATACACAACATGTTCTAATTTCAGAGCATTTTTCAAGCTTCTTCACACATGAGCGGCTGAACACATGGTTTTCTTTCAAAATACTTCACAAGAATGTTGGCTAACAAACGCTCTGAAGAATCTGGCAATCGCCTTGTGGGTAATTTATAAAAAGAAAAAGCAGTGAAATAAAACCATCCTTTGGAGCCAATTTTTTTTTTTTTTAAATTTTTTTTTTTTGTTCTGAGCCTCACTGGCTAGTTTCCTTCCTTCCTCCCAACCCTGCCTTTGCTGGGTTGTTTTTGTCTCCAGGCTTGGACGTGGCAGCGGGCATGGCCCACAAGCAGAGGCCATTAGGTGCGCGAGGAGGGCTTTTGGGTGCGTAACTCCTGCAGCACCCTGCCAGGTGCCCCATGCACCCTACCCCCGACGTCATGCCAGGCTGGACCAGTGCTGTGGGAATGACCCCACTGACTTGCCCTCACCCACTCTTGCAGCATCCACTGTGCAGCTGCTCAGCAGAGACAGACAGGACCTCAAATGTGTTATGAGCAGGGCTGAACAAAGGTTTGTGATTACCTGTTTTCTCAGAGGGAGAGAAGTGACGCAGAGGGAAATGCAGTGACTCATTTGAAACACTTTGGGGATGGAAATGATGTTAGAAACCAGGCTGAGCTTCACAAAGCCCTGCACTTACAGACCCTTACTGAGTCCAGAGCTACCTATGCTGAATGGTGTAAATTAACCAAAAAGTTCAGGAGGTAATGTGGGAAGGAGGTGGAATTAATATTGCTTTTGCTGGAAGGAACTGAGCAAATCTCTCTGCACATACATTTTGTACCATACTTAAGCAACATATCCTACATGAACGTGTGGCCCATTGAGAACTGGGCATATGTAGGACCTTCATACAACAGCGCAAGCATTGATGGTTTTCAAACAGGGTCTGTCCCCAGGACCCTGCTCCTGATTGCAGCAAAATGAAACCAAGCCGTGGCCAGGGATGTTGCAGGACATCCTGTGTTATCGGGACTGGGCTCCTCCCTTGGCCAAGAAGCAGCCACCAGCAAGCACAACAACATCCCATCTCGTTTTCTTCTCATTGCAGTATCCTAATGCCTCCACAGCACGTGAACACTGCTCGGGGGAAGCTCGTCAGAAAGCTAGCAGAGTGTGTTCACCATAAATGGTTACTCAGATTTAAATATTTTGTCTGTTTATATTTGGCAGCAAAGGATGCTACCAAAGACAGAGTGCTACGACACCAAAAAGGGGCAGGGTGGAAGGAAGGGCATTTATCAGCAGAGCTGAAGAAAGGTAGTGATGCTCTGAGCACCGTCTCACACATTTAGCCCATTCTAGCTGCAGAGAGCAATGTAAGACACAGACCAGAGGGCAGCCGTGCCCTGTGCCAAAGGGATCGGAGCAGTTTGCCTGATGCAAACATTGCACTCAGCGCAGATAATGCTCAGAGCAGAGATTTTTGTCCCCATCTGGCTTGCTTTGCCTCTTCCCCCTCAGCACTACAAAGCTGCTGATTGCCAGCTTCCCACTCTGGAGCAAGCGCTATGAAACACTCGGGGATACAGGTAGCAAGTCAACACATCATGGAAAGAGAAACAAAACAGGACAGAGACTTGCAGCCTGTCTTACCCAACTTTTTAGCTGCATCCCCCAGCCGGGGTGGAAGCCTCTGGTGGGTGGAGCCATCTTTGCTCTTGTTTCCACATGAGAAAAAAAAAAATTGTTGTTTTCTCTAGATTATACCAATGGCTTAGAGCAATTTCAGAGGGGGCATGAATGCCCTGGTGCTTTTCCCAGCTATATCACACTCAGGGACCTGGTCACAGCGGCTCTCAATGACCATTCACAGAATACTCTTTTTCGAGCTCCCACCTCCGGCAGCACTGAGGTGAGACCTCGCCTATGTCCCAGTGATGGCCTGGGTACCCTGGGGGGCACAAGCAGACGATGCCTCCATCATGTTCCTGGCAGGTGCCAGCTCCACTGGGCTGCTCATCATGGCTGGGGTGCAGCTGCGTCCACCAGCAACAGCGATTCAGAGGAGCGACTGATACCTACTGCTATGGTGCAGTGGGATAAGGCCAGATATGCATCTCCTGGTGCTTCCCTTGAACTGCTCCCTCTGCTGCTCTCCCCAGGGACATGTAGTTGCCATGGGCAGGCAGGAGGGAAGTCCTGGAGGTTTCTGGGGATGCAGTTATTGTGGCTAGATAACTGCATTACCTGCCCAAACACAGACTATCTTTTGTTAAGACAGAAGCTATTGAACACGACCTGTGAAAACCCCCACATTTATGGCTTCCCACCACAATAATGTTCTGCTGAAGTCTGCTTCTCTTAATGTTCTCTGCTGTAGAAGAAGCAAAAAAGTGACAGCTATGCCCCCTCCCTTCCTTCCCTTCCATTGCGTGTTCCCTTCCATATAAGAAGACACAGTACCTTCTGTAGTGGGTCCTAACGCATCTATTGCTTCTTGTGAGACTTGAGGCAGGGCAGCAGTAGTGGTGGCCAGCAGATGGGGATTGTCCAGAACAACAGCTGTCTCCACCTCTTGTCCTGACACTGCGGGAGGGGAGGGCTCTATTTCGAGCTGACCCTCTTCAGGGTTTCTGGGTCCCTGTGTTGGTTCAACATCTGGAGTACTGGTACTAATTACAACATCTGGGACAGACATTTCTCCTGAAATGCCTGCAATCGAGTGTGTCACAGCTCCAGATATTGCATCAAGAATTTCCTTCTCCTTGGGAGCACCAGAAGGCTCACCATTGGCCAAAGATGTGGCAGCTGTTTCGATGTTAGCAGCAGGCAATGCAGATGCTTCTCCACTGGTTTCGTGGACTGTGGATGTTTCTGTGCTGATTTCAGGAAATGCAGATGTTTCCCCACTAGTTTCGTGGACTGTGGATGTTTCTATTTTAGTTGCAGGAAATGCAAAAGTTTCACCCCGGGCTTCTTGACTTGTGGATGTTTCTATTCTAATTTCAGGAAACGCAGAGGTTTCCCCACTTACTTCCTGAACTGTGGATGCTTCTATGCTAATTTCGGGATAGGCAGATGTTTCACCCCTGGCTTCTTGACTTGTTGATGTTTCTATGCTAATTTCAGGAAAGGGAGATGTTTCACCTCGGGCTTCTTGACTTGTGGATGTTTCTATTCTAATTTCAGGAAATGCTGATGTTTCCCCACTGATTTCGTGGACCGTCGAAGTTTCTATGCTAATTTCAGGAAAGGCAGATGTTTCCCCACTGGTTTCATGGACTGTGGATGTTTCTATGCTAATTTCAGGAAAGGCAGATGTTTCTCCACTGGTTTCATGGACTGTGGATGTTTCTATGCTAATTTCAGGATATCCAGATGTTTCTCCCCTGGCTTCTTGACTTGTGGATGTTTCTATGACAATTTCAGGAAATGCAGATGCTTCCCCACTGATTTCTTGAATCGTTGATGTTTCTATGCTAAATTCAGGAAATGCAGATGTCTCTCCACTGATTTCATGAATTGTGGATGTTTCTACACTAGTTTCAGGAAATGCAGATGTTTCCCCACTGATTTCTTGAATTGTGGATGTTTCTACACTCGTTTCAGGAAATGCAGATGTTTCCCCACTGATTTCTTGAATCGTGGATGTTTCTATACTAGTTTCAGGAAATGCAGATGTTTCACCACTGATTTCATAAGCTCTTGATGTTTCTATACCACTTTCTGGCAATGCAGATATTTCCCCACTTAGTTCACCAGATGCAGAGGCCTCACCACTTGGCCCAAAACTATAGGGAAATGTGACAGCTGTTTCCCCACCCAGTTCCTGTGATACTGTTGGTCTTGTCACAACTTCCACTAAATCAGAAGTGACTAAAGTGACTTCTGGAAGCCCTGAGGCCTCCCCACTAATAGCAGTCACTGCTGAAGATTGTCCACTTAGGTCTGTGGCTCCAGAAATGTCTCCACTGACGTATGGGATCCCGGATGGCTCTCCACTGAAGTCTCCTGTCCCTGAAGGAAACCCACTAGTCTGCATGGCTCCAGACCCTTCTCCAGATAGTCCTCTGTCTCCAGAAGGAAATCCACTGATTTCTATCATCCCAGATGGCCCTTCTCCCACCTCCTGTGCAACTGACATCTGTGTTACAACTTCCACCAAAGTGGTATCCACAAGAGAGACGGTGGGAAAACCAGAGGTGAGTCCACTTTCCTCTCCAGACAGTAGGCCACTGGTGACATCAACTCCAGAGACTTCTCCACTGCTGTCAATCACTCCACTTGGATGTCCACTCATCTCGAGCACTCCAGAAACACTCCCACCAAAGTCTACATACCCAGAAGGCTCACCACTGCTGTCTAAAGTCCCAGAAGCCGTGCCTGATGCATCTTCACCTCCTGAAGGCATTCCACTGACTTCCAAAATCTCTTTTGCTTCTGCTCGTGTAATTGAGGGGGTTGTCACTTCCTCCAAACTGGCATCTACAAAGGTAATGCCCGAAGCCTCACCGCTTCCATCGACACCAGAAGTTAGGCCACTTAGGTCCATCAGGCCACTGACCTCATGTGTTCCAGATGGTTCTCCACTGACATCCAGTCCTGAGGGCAACCCGCTGAGCTCAGGCCCTCTGGAGGGCTCCCCCCTGAGCTCAGGCACCCCAGAATGCTCCCCGCTCAGCTCGGGCACCCCAGAAGGCTCCCCGCTCAGCTCGGGCACCCCAGAAGGCTCCCCACTGAGCTCAGACCCTCCGGAGGGCTCCCCGCTGAGCTCAGATCCTGAAGGTAAACCTTGGGCTCCGCCACAGGTGACCCAGTCAGTGGATGGGAACCCTGACAGATCTCCCTCACCGCTGGCTCCAATGGATCCTTTTCCCTCCTCTTGCCGTTCTGGCGCAGTTGTTACAACTTCCACCAATGTGGTATCCACAAGAGAGACAGTAGGAAAACCAGAGGCGAATCCACTTTCGTCTCCAGATGATACGCTGCTGACTAGCTCAGTGCCAGAGATTTCTCCGCTGAATCCAGAAGGCAGCCCACTGCTTTCCACTCCAGATGGCATCCCGCTAATTTCTGGTATCCTCGAAGTAGACACTGATATATCTACCTCTGCAGAAGGTAAGCCACTGATGTCAACAGTGCCAGAAGGCAGGCCACTCAGGTCCCCTGAGGGTAGCCCACTTTCTCCAGGTAGAAAGCCACTGGTATGCAGGTCTACTGATGGTAATCCACTTTCTCCGATCCCTGAGTGTTCTCCACTAAGTTCAAAAACTCCAGAAGTCGGTTCTTCACTTGTATCCAGGACTCCAGGTACCCACCCAGATGCTGAAGATTCACCACTGACTTGATGTTCTCCAGATTCAGTCACCTCCCCTGACACTTCGCTGATGGAAGCATCGGTACTTGTTTCCTCTGGTATTACAGTAGCTGGGGGAAAAGCAGATGGACTCACTGGAAAAGAAAGAATGAACAAAGAGAGGGAGATAGGAAAATTATTTACTAAATTGTTTTAAAGAAGCTATTAACAATTTCCTGATTGATTTTACCTCCAAACTGATACCTTTGGGATAAAGGCACAAAGTCCTGTGTGCTTACAGAAATAATTTGGTCCCTTCAAATTTGTTAATAAACATTATATCTTAAACTACTATAAATTAAATATCTCTGGGAAACTGACAGAATATATAATCTTCTGACACAGCAGGACGGCAACAGTGACACCAATTCCCAGGTGCCAAAACCAAGCTACTGCTTCCTCGGAGGTGACATGTGGAAGAGAAAAAGTTTAGTGCTGCTCTGACCACACTGCAGCTCTGCCCTCTCTAGAAGGCATGGCCTGAGATCTGTTTTTAGCCTGCCTTCCCCATCTCAGATACACAATATTTTGTAAGGTGCTCCGGCAATGCTGTGCGTGCTGGTCTGCCGGTCATTTAGTTCAGTCTTGGACAAAAGTTCAAAAATACACACGTGTAGCTCCTCCTGTGTGTGCAGCCTCAGGCTTTGCTAATATGGTGATAATCACCTAGATTTAGAGGGAGTCCCCATCAGCAAGGACACAGCCCATCTATTTTGGGAGTGTCCCAATCCTACAACACCAGCCAAGTGTGACCCAGCAGATGGGGCAGCTCTGACCCACCTGAGAGCAGTGACATGTCGGTTGGGAAGACCTCTGTCCCCCACGCTGTCTGATTCTCAGGTTGCGTAGCAAACTCTGTCTCCACGGTCACCTCCTCCCCGGAGGGTACCCCCTCCACTCCAGGGATCACTTGGGTTGCCAGCACATCTTCTTCAAAGAATGAGGTGACCCCCTCCTCCTCCACAGGTGGCAGAGCTGGAACAAAAAGGTATTGGAGGGAGTTTCCAAAAATTCACAGTCCAAGATGCCGGTGAAGTTCTTCACCCAAACCAGCACACCGATGTGCCCAACCTCCCTCATGAAATCCCCTTCCCCGAGGAGACAAGACTACATGCCCTGTAAGGGGTTGGAGGGTACCTCTGAAGCAGAAGGCGTGGTGCCGGGACAGCGGGTCGGGAAAGCCCGTCTGGTTGTAGTGCTGATAGACGGTTCTCACGCCAGGCGCGTCCCCCCCGCAGGCGGGACGGGGGGTCACGATGGGGTAGCGGAGGCTGCCGTCGGCTAACCAGCCTGCGTAGCATCTGTCCAGGCCCTGCTTCCAGGCGGCGTGGAGTTGGCCAACAGAGGCCAGCGTGGCGTTTTGGCTCTCGCAGTACTGCTGAGCTTCTGGGAAGGTGAACTGCTCTGGCTGGGTTGCGAAGAACACCTCGCCTGAGGGATGGGAGAGAAAGCAGGCATGAGTCCCTGCATCCCACCCCCTCCCATGCAAATGTGGAGGTGCGAAGCACATTTTTGCTCCACAGCCATGCACTGGGGGAAGGGGGAGAATGTACCCTTGAGCCTGTCAATGTAGCAGTACACATCGTAGGTCTCTGAGGCTGGGCGCATGCCGTAAGAACGCACACCCGGAGAGCTCTCTTTGTCTCCTACGCAGTTACTTCGGGGATTCACAATGGGATACCTACCGAAAGAAGAGAGGAGGTAACCCAGGGTCAGCCTTATGTACCCTGGACTGAAGAACCTCAGTGTACTTGGGAGCTGGACACAAACACTTCACCATTAGAGGTGCTCAGAGCCCCCACCGTGACATGGAAACAAGTCCACTTACAGCTTGAGGCAATAAATACAGACTTTCCTCCATTTCTACTACATGTCAGGGAAGCTCACCGCTGCAGGAAGTATACACAGGTCAGGAAATGGGTAGGACAGGTTGAGAACAGGTCTATTGGCCACCAGATATCATGGCCTGGAGAGAACCTTAGGTCAGGAAAGCTTTAGATGCTGATGAGCAGAGCAGCAGGACAGACCAGAGTAAAGCCTCAGTTTCATGGCTGAATAGTCATTTTGAAAGGTGTCTTCCCAAAGCCAATATAGTTTTACCTGACTGTCTGGTCCCGCAGCCAGCCAGCATCGCACTGGTCAAAGCCAGCCTCATAGGCGGCTTGGAGCTGTTCAGGAGTGGCGATAACTGCATTGTTCTCCAGGCAGGCCTGCTGGGCTTGGACGAAGGAGAAGGCGTATCTGCTGGTGGCGGCACGGTAGTGAAACACCACACCTGGGGGAAGACAAGTCGTGGTGCAACAGTAGATAACAGGACCCCCCTCCACTGAGATGCATGACCAGAAAGGGTCTTCCCAACAACAATACAAGGACCAGTGCCTGTCAAACCCACTTTGATGGAGATGCCTCATGCATTGAGCTTCGCTGCCATGGAGGGCGATGTTCTGGGGATCTCTTTAGCTCTCCTCTAGGATCTTCCTACCTTGACTTTCCCCTTCCCTGGAGCCAGATGCACATGTGAGTGCACAGTATGACTGATGCAGCCCCAAGCACCAACCAGCTGAGCCCTTTTCCACACATGATGGGGTGGCCCACAGCCTCCTCCTCACCCCTCCTGTCCTACCATAGTGGAGACACTCAGCCTGTCCCTTATCCCAAACAGGCCTGCACACGTCCAGGGACCTGGATGCCCTCTGTGAAGGCAGAAGCTTAGGCTGTTTTCAGCTGAATTGTTAACTCTAGGAGAAACTGTTCTCCGTGTTTCTTGGACTCCTGGTGACTTACCCGTGGGGGAGATGGGCTGCTCAGGGAGGAGACCGACACCGGGGGCTGCTGTCACTCGCACGAGCTGATCTTCCACTGTGAACACCGAGGCAGGCTCTAGTCCTGGTGTGGTAGTCACCCCCACGACCTCTTCCACCGAGCTCACCTCTGCCATTTCAGTGGTGATGGCAGTGCCTAAGGCTATGGTGGTGATCTCTTCAGGTACAGCCCACACCCCTGTGACATCCCCCCTGGTCACGTTCTCCTCCTCTGGGGCAGTTGTCTCTACTGTGACACTGGTGGCAAAGAGATCCGGCAGGACAGTGAAGCCCTCGTACAGCTCGGTGGTGGTGGGTGTGATCTCAATGGGCTCCAGGGTGGCGATGCTGCCACGGGCCTCCTCCTCCGTGACGTTGTGTAGCAGAGATAGCTCCACTTCGGTCTGGGTGACGGTCTGGACAGTGAAAGCGCTGCCCAGCTCGCTTCCCGTCTCGTCGATGAACTGCCCTGGGACAAGAGTCTCAGCGTCGTCCCCTACATGAGGAGACAAAGCAGCCATCAGAGAGGAGGACGTGGTCAGTCTAGCAAGGTGTACTGTGCTGGTGCTGCCTCCAAGAAGCATCTGGGTGTTTGCTGGCTCTGAGAGGATCAGGGAAATCATGACGGTCTGGTAAAAGAAGTGGTTGTCCTTCCCCCAGTATGGCTCTGTATAACACCTCAGCATGGAGGGCATGCTCATGAGTTAGAGGCAATGAGCCACCGCATGCTCCACAGCTGATAAATCGGAGAGGACTTTCCTTGCTCTCCTCCCAGCTCTCCTTCCCGGGAACACTTTGCCCATATCCAAGTCTGCACTGACCTCTAGTGCCTGCTGCAAGGAATTTAAGGTGGCCGGAGGGAACTAAGGGAGCTTCGATAAGCTCAACAGCAGGTCTGAGCCGTGGGAGAAAGGCAACTGGATCCTCTCACTCAATGCATGAAGTCTCACCAGGATCACGATCTCCTCCTGCTCTGCCCAGGCGACGACTTAAGAGCTCATCACATATAAGCACGCTAACTCCATCACCAGGACAGCCAGGGCCACTTGCTGTACCAAATAGATTCAAATTACTCCTACCGTTCCCCTCCCAAATCACTTTTCTGCTCAAGTCACATCCCTTAGGTGTAGGAGAATGTGCTTAACATGCCACTGAGCAGGTCAGCCTACAGCAAGGACGGCGGTTTAAAGAGCAGCATAAAACAGAACTGGGCAGGTGAAGGAGGGACATCTTGGATATGGAGCAAGGCAGGTCTTGGCTGGGAAGGGAGAGATAATGAGACATGGTCAGGCTTTTCCCCTAATACTGCTTTCCTTGCTCTATTTATTTCCAATTCCATTTTCCTGCTAGTTCATTTTAGCCAGTACGTCTCAAACCTCAAGGCATTCAGAGAATTAGAGATGCTCAGCCGAGGGCTGGCTGTACTCAGCAGTTTCAGATGCATATTCTGAGATAACCAGAAGGCTGTGGCTTGATGGACCAGTCTTTAGCTTGGCCACATAGCTGGATAACTTGAAGGGGTCTGGTAGGTTTTACAGGGCCTCCTGACACACTGGTCATGCATGCATCTGGGCACAATAGGTCTGTATCAAAGGGGTTTCAAAATGTATTTTAAAATATTGTTGTTATTTTTTTTTAAAGATGGCAATCCTATTTGAATATTGGCCTCTGGTTGCCTTGAATAGACCATACTTCACCCCCTTTTTGCTGCAGGGAGAAGTCTGCAGTTAGAAGAAAGGGGGAGTAGCTGGGATGCTCTCGACTTACGAGGTGCAATTTTGCCCCATTTCTGATTGCCAGAGACTGCAGCACTCTCTGATTTATCCCAGTGTGGAAACTCAGGCATATGTCTGTACCACATCACAGCACTATACACATCTACAGGGTCAGATCTGTTCTCTTTTTCCTTCTCTTCCACCTCCAGCATTCAAGATCTTGTACATGAAGCACCTGCTCCATGTCTCCAGGAGAGCTACCAAAGCTGGAAGGTGTGGGAGGACTGGAGAGAAGAGGGTTGTGTTACGCCCACCTCCTCAGAGTCCTCCCATACAGGCCAGGCATCCATGCACTTTCTGGATCCACTTCCTACCTGAACATGAATGGGGGACTAAGTCCTTTGCCAAACCTGCTTTCCCCCCTACTTTTTAAAAAAAAAATAATTAAAGAAGGGAGAGGTTAGCTTTGGCCAGGGAGCTCCTGCTTGCTGATGTGTAGAGACACATTGCTTAGTCCCACAGCCCCGATGCACTCACCATAGCAGATGGCATCATAGCGAGAGTCGGGGTGAGGGTACCCCGTTTGGTTAACGTACAGGTACACCGTCCGCACGCCCACCAGGTTTCCTCCGCAGTTGGGCCGTGCTCTGGAAATGGGGTAGCGGACGCTGCGATCGGCCAGCCAGCCTGCACTGCACATGTCCATGCCATCCTTCCAGGCCAAGTACAGCTCTCCCGTGGTGGCCAAACGGGCTCCCAAACTGCGGCATTTGTCGAAAGCTTCTTGGAAGGTGAACTTCTCAGGGGCGGTGGCATAAAAGACTTTACCTGCAATCACACCATCCATTAGCACAGGATTAAGCTGTAGAATTTAATCCCAATTCCCTTTCTTTCAGCTTCCCACTCCTGAGAGTCTGGATAAGATGAAAAGTCCTGTGTATTACAGCTGAACCGCAACCCCATGCTGGTGACTGTCTATGAAGACCAGAAGAAAGTGAGTCTTACAGACCAAATACAAACTGGAGCAAAACATACCAAACCAGCTGGAGCCACAGGGCAAGAGGAAGATTAAGGACAATTTCAGTTCTGATGTGCTGAATATTTCAATGGATCCCTGTTATAAGCATGGGTGATGGACACTTCTGGATGTCACAAATGGATGACCAAAGACAAACAGGATGGCGTGGACTCTGGTGGAGGTTAGACGGACTCCACCCTCTGTACTGCATTAGTCATTTGACATTAAAATTGTCCAAGGTCTAACAAAGACACTGTAGAGAACATCTGGCCTTGCTGGGTATGTACTTTTCCACCTTTAACCTGTCTTGCCTCTAGGCCTTTTGCCTCTGTATTTACTGTTGTCCAGTCTAGGCATGATCAAAGCTTTAGCTGCTTCTGCGTCTAGTAACAATAAAGCCCCAAATCACCTTGCATTTGCTCTGCATAGCAGTAAACATCATAGGTTTCATCTGGCTCGCGGACACCGTAGGTCCTCACCCCTGGAAACTCATCCTTGTCGCCGTAGCAGCGCTCCCGAGGCCAGTGGATGGGATACCTGGGGGAGAGAGGGTGTGTAAGGAGTGGGGGGCAGGACCCCAGCAGCCACAGCAAGGCTGGGAGGGAGCTGCGGAGCACTGCGTATTGTGATGATTTATGGCTTTTCCTGGGTTATGGGGAAGCAGAAGGATGATCTGCTGTCCTGCTCTCCCTCTGGTGGTCCTGATCACAGCAGGTCCCTGGGAACACTGGCCAAAGGCATCAGGCCAAGGTGCCTCCCCAGTGGGGGATGCACAGCTCGGTACAGTTGAGCCACACTTGTGCATCTTGGCATAGCATCTGTTTTGTTCAGGGAGGATGAAGGATCAGGATTAAGCCATTGTCCACTCAGCTGTCACCACCAGCTGAGGAGGACAGTGGTCACTCTGCTTTCCAACTATAGATTCCCTCCCTGGCAGAGAACGGCTGGCAATCCACCACCTCCCTCTGCACACCAGCAATTACAACAGCTGCTATTTAGCAACTATTTCACAACTGTTTTCAGTCAGTGGCTTCATTACAGAAGGCCTTCCCTAATGACCCTGCTGTGGCTTTCCTTTCCCCTCCACCATTCATTACCTGACAGTCTGATCAGCCAGCCAGCCAGCATCACACTGCTCGTACCCATCCTCGTAGGCAGCTTGCAGCTGCTCAGGAGTAGCAATGACAGCACTGTTCTGGATACAGGCCTGCTTTGCTTTCTCGAAGTTCAAGGTGTACCTTGTGGAGATTGCTCTGTAGTGGAATACGATGCCTGGAAAACACAACGGCCATCACTCACACGCCTGCTAGAGAACAACCAGCCCCTTTTCTTCCAAAGAAGTTATGGATTCAAAGAACAGATACTACATGTCAACTAGAAACAATGAGTTATTTATGCTGATTGACTGTATTTGAGCATCTCAAGCCAAGGATGACTTGATGGGGTCCTTTCACAGGACCTTGTGGAGCACATTGGTGACCTCAGACAGTGACTGCCCTCCCATGGTGCTGTAACAAAGTCACAGTGCATTAAAAGCTGGTACCTGAATAGCAGTGTGAACAGTGGGAGGAAATCCATCGCCCAGAACACAGAGCTATATCACCATCAGAAGGACTCAATACTTTCCTGATACAGCTCTGTGCAGTGTTTTAAATGCATGGTTCAGAAATCAGCCAGTGGGGCAAAGCAGGGACTGTGCTGTTGTGCAGGTTTGAAAGCTGCTGCCTCCCAAGGTCCTGCTCAGGACCAAGGGTGCAGAGTGTCAATCACTGTACAAACACCCAGGAAACAATTATAATCTCCAGATCTACTGCAAACATATCTAAGTCATATTTTTTTGATGAACAGGGATCTTTATAAAGAATGGCTATCGGTACACTCTGGTCTGGAACAAGCAGGCTTTAAGTCAGGTGGAAAATTCACCAGGAGGCAATAAGGGGGCTCCCAGCCTCTACTGTCAGAATTGTACTCCAGTGCATGTGAGCAGCAGTTAACTGTTGTAGAGGAAGCTGTCTCCCTGTCCTACACTGAAAACAAAAGCCACGATACAGATAAGGATTGTAGGAAACTTTCATTATTTTATCTACCTATTACTAGGATGGGCTTTGCAAGATGATGGGGAAAGTTTTTCCACAACAGACCAATTCTCCAGCTGAGGGCATCCCATCTCCTAAAATGTTTGGAAGAAATAAAAGGTCTTACAACGGCCCTGTTCCAGCTTCACCCCTCTGAGCAATAGCCCAGTGTATCCAGTGCCACCTCCTGCCAAGGATGTCGTCTTGCTGTCTCTGTAACTCACCTTCTGCCAGAAGAGTAATTTTATTGCCATATAATCTGCCATGAGTCATTTTACTGGTTTGTTTAGTCTGGTCCTAGCCTGCTAAAATAAATGCGTGGCTCGGCTTCTGCTCACTTACCCATTGCCTTATCTGTGACCTTACTGAAAAGGTTTCTGTCTGTGGGGAGAGCAGTAGCTCCTCTGCCCATATATTTCTTCCTCCCTCCTGCCCAGGCCAGGCAGCAAGATCTTGAGAGGAAAGAGCAAAGGCAGGACCTTACCTTTCACTAGGACCTCTATTGTGTCTTGTCTGTCCTCAATCCCGTACATCACTTCACAGCGATAAATCCCAGTGTGGTTGGATCTCAGCGCCTTGATTTCCAAGGTGGCATCGGTGGGGATGGCGGGGTAATTGGGCAAAGAGATCGCCTCCCTGTATGCGGTGTTGAGCCGGATTTTCCCACCAGTGGCCACTAGCAAGACAACTTCGGTCCCGTTTGAGAGTTTGCTCCATTTGATCCGTGGGGTCAGCAGAGCACTGGTGTCCTGTTCCTCTGGGATGTTGAAGTAACAGGGGATGTTCAGGGAGCTTCCCAGCACAACACGCAGGGGAGACTGCTCAGGTATCTTCACTTCCAGGCCATCACTACTGTCTGCCAGTTCCCAAACAAAGCAATGGTTACATCAATAATGCATTTAATCCAAAATACCCAGTGCTTCCACATGCTCCAATGCCTATATCTGCTTTGCAAACCTCTACCCACATATTCAGACATATCTTTTTTGGTCTAGTCTGCTGAAAATAACTTGCAGAAAGGGAAGTTGCAACCATGACCCTTGAGCCATGGTTGCTTTTGTGATTTGGACCAGTGCTGGAGGTGGGAATGAAGGGAATGAAGGGCTCTACTGCAGTGTAGCTGCTGCCCATACTACAAGATCACACCTGACAGCCTTTAAAAAAGGGAATGCTGAACTTCCCTTAGTTTCCCCATAAATCTGCCTTTGCCTGGAGCTATCTCTCTGGCTCCCCAAGCACAAGAACAGTGAGAGGCTATGGCATAGCAGCCATCCAAATAGAGGAGCCCTGTGTGTACACAGAGCAGACCTTGGGTACACTTATTTCTGGCAGCTGCCCACGCTTGGGGATGGGACCAGAGTGCAGCACATCACTCAGTCTCACTTTCCCACACCCCGGGGCACGTACCTGAGAGCTCCACAGAGATGGCTGCGGTGATGACTCGCAAACACACAAACACTAATAGTAAAGTGGTCATAATTTACCTGCAAGAAACAACACAGGGAAAAAGGATTTATGACAGCTGTATGTTCATAGAGAGCCAAGTGCTGCGGCTGCTGCTGCGGGGCAGTGCAATGCTTTCACCTGCCCCTTAAGCCTCCTACATGTGACTGGCAGTGAAAGCTGGTCCTTGGGGAAGGACGCTGTACCAAAGTGCCTCTTGCTTCAGGAAATGAGTCTGTGAGACAAATAAATAAGATGCTCTGCTATGTATAACAGCCTGAAGTGTTATTATAGATCACTTATTATATTGCTCTCCCATTCTCTCTCTTGTGATTCAGTCTTCCTTGTGGAGCAGAAAGACAATTTTCCACCAGATCATCACACTTATGTGTTTACTCAAGAGGGACGATCACACCCGCTAAGCCTTTGCCTCAGAATAGGAGCTGCCCCTCACCAGCATCCTCCATCCAAGCCAGCACTCGCTCTTGGGCCAGATGATCGGATGCATTTTGTATACCTTAAAGTGCTCTGAAGGGAAATCTGCCCTCTATGTGGTGGAAAAGCCAAAGGTTATAATGCTTTGGTCCAATACTCTTGCACTGACAGCACACATAACCTTAACTACAAATGGATCCTGAACTGATACAAGAAATCTCCAGGATACAGTTCCGGGCATCTTAATTTCACCCTAAAAACATCCTCTTGGGATCCCTCAATTAGTCAGAGCCACCTGCTACTTCTGAAAGCTTTCGGAAAGGAAAGGACCATCCTCCTGACATTGAATGGCAGAAGCAATACAGGGAGGCCAACTAAATTAATCCTAACTGAATTATCATCCAGTATAATATCATGAGATTTTAAATAGCCACAAATGTTCAAATTATTTTTGATATTTCAAATAAAAACCATGTCCTCCGGCAACACAGTGTTGTTTGGCGTCATAGTTCAGCACTGACTCAGCAGGAAGGACCACGCCTACTGAATCACTGGTGTTTCCTTTGAGGTCACCTGTCCAAATATTGGCTGTTCAAGTCCTGTGATCTAGAAAGATCCCAGATGACTTCAGCTGACAGGGAACATTCTGAGTATATGCCTATCAACCTTGCAGAAAAGTCCATTAAATATCCTCACTGGCACAAGAAAAGGCCAAAAATAAACCTCATCCTGTACAGTCCAGCATTAGCCTTTCACTTATGAAAAAATTGACCTCCATGCACTCATTCATTTCAACCTGACACATCACAAAATCTTATCTTTGTGAAATCTAAGTTAATAGAGACACCTATACTAGCAGAAAATAGGACAGAACAGGGCTGGAAGACATCAGCAGAGAAGCATGGAGGCTTGAATTTGTAGCTGTAGGGCTGAACAAGATCAAATGGACATAGCTCAATTTCTGCTGGGCCTGAAATTTTATTTTCAGGTAAGTGCCAACCTCGGGGTGTGGGGGGGGAAATGGTGGAGTTGTGTGTCTGTTTGGATGTCTCTCCCATTAGGAATAATATCCGCATAAGCAATGTATTATGAACCTCTTCTGCAGCATGACAGTTCGCTTCCCCATTTCCCTGTACTGCTGGCTAGTACCAAGACAACTGCCATGCTGCAGAAGAGGTCAAGGTGTTTGGCAGTCGGTACCTGGTCGATGGCAGGGGGATGTGCCCATAGGAGGGCCTGTGTGGGGCAGTGAAGTGCCTTCTGCTCATCAGTAAGCAAGGAGAATTGGAAACACCATCTGCTATGGATAAACAGTCTGAAAGCAGCTTGGCTAAGCAACCATACCCAAGAGTCCTTAAAGAGCTGGCTGAGTAAATTGCTGGCCCACTGATGTTCGTTTATAATCTGCTCTGGAGCACTGGGGCAGGTCCCGAATACTGAAGCACTGTGCCAATAGTCAGTCAAGATATACAACGATGAGCCTCATAAATACACGCTAGGTTGATTGATATAAATTCCAGGCAAAATAATGAAAAATCTGATACAGACTTCAACTCATTAAGCACTGAAGAATAGGCATAATATTAATCTTAGTTGAGGCACTTGTATATAAAACAGGTGCTTCCAAACTTGACTTTATTAGTTGGTATGATTCTAAGTTTGTCTGATAAAGCTGCCTGCATGGTTGTAACATAATGTAATTAGATTTTGATAAGGTTTGGCTTTCACAGGGTTCCATGATATGAAGACATGTAATGTCAGTAGTACAAGCATTAAAATGGCTTAGCAGAAGCCTAGCTGACAGGTCTCTAAAAGGAGCCATCTGAAGGACACTGATGTTGAAGGGGATATTTCTAATGGGCATCTACAGGGGTCAGTATTAGATCCAATGTGTTTCCAAATAGACTGTATTTTAATAGAATCAAATATAAAATTATACAAGGGATGCAGAACATGCCTGACACTGGGATGTTGTGTCCTAGAAAGCAGTCACTCAGGAGACCTACTGCCATTATCTGACATAAAACCAAACAGGAATATCTCTCTGTGCATCTGGTAAGCAACGGGAATATTGTGTGCACCTCTGGGTTAGCATAAGGGTATCAGAAAAAGGTGGTGCAGAATATATCCACTAGCAAGGATCTGAAGGTTGGAGGAAATGCCTTATGGGGAGAGACTAGGAAGTCTGAATCTAATTATTGTAACAACACCCACAAAAAGACTGAGAAGTTGACAACAGTGCACAAATATTGTTTTAAGCAGAAGCTGCAGATGCTAAGGGGCTCTTTAATCTAACAGAAAGTCATCACCAAAACTAATAGCTGGGACCCATATGCCAAGCAAACTCAAATGGGAAACAAAGCCCACATTCTAAACAGGGGGTGATGGATCATTGGAACAGGTACCAAGGGAAACAGTGGAGTTTCTGTCCCTTGGTAGCTTCGAATCCAGACTTGAAGGCTTTATTGGAAGACATGGCTTAGGCAAATGCAAGTTAGTGGGCTCAATACAGAGGTAACAGGGTGAGGTTTAAGGGGCCTACATTCACAGGAGATCAGCCCAGAATGGTCCCTTCTGACATTAAAATTTATGAATACGAATGTATCACTGTTTTGATCTCTGCTCTTGTATTATTCATCTTACCTGGCACTAGGCAGTACAAAGAATTATGTTTGTGAATATCACACACATTTTTTACCTGCGTTGTAAGATCTAAGGCAAAAAAGACATCCTGTAAAATTAACCGCCTTCCCTGCTCAATCTCAGCCAGCCATGCCTGAAGTCTGCACAGGTGAGGCATCCCCCAGCTCCATGTCAGGCAGGGAGAAACGGATTCGGGGGTAAGCTGCCAGTGGAGGAGAAGGAAAAGGGCTTAACCTGTATTTTGGGGAACACCTCCAGGTGATAGACCAGTCACTACTAACACACGAGGCACTGCAGGAAACTTGAAGCAGACACAGCTTCTGCATTTTGGCGTATCTTTAAACTTTGGGGTGAAACTGACATTCACTCTCTGAATTGTATTCTTGTTTAGTTAGAGGAATGCTTCCTACTAGAACAAATAACTGTGGGACTGTGCATCCAGAGCTCTCCTGGAGTAGGTCACTCCTTTCACTATGGACCAGCCTGACACCACCTGAGGACTGTCACCCTGGAATGAGGTTGTGGGGTGGGCTCAGATTATTTCTACTTGCATCATCCCAAAGCTGCCATTCCAGTGGATATCCTCCATTCTCATCCTCTGGAAAAAAGGAGAAATAGGAAAGCAAAGATCACTAGAGTCCTGGGAGCAGGGGTGGACCCTCCAGGGCAGAAGGTACTTGGAGGGGATTCAGGTAAAGGACACTCTCCTAGCCATTAGTAACTAAGTCTTTACTCCTGATACCTGCTTGAGCATTATATAAAAGCTCTTACTTCTCCAGGCTCCTTAAATGAGGTACTTTTCAGCTGGCTCTGTGTTTTGCCAGAATCAAAGCGAGCTGAACAACCCTGAGTGTCATGTGATGAACTCAGCCAAGAGAGGCAGGCAGCTTTAGACCAGGATTGTCTCCTAAAGAGTAGAAACATCCCAGAACACGGAAACAGAGATATTTAAATAAAACAGGAGCTGGCTGGCTGAAAAGATTTTTACAATCCATGTCTATAGCAAACATATTGTTCTGAGTCACACACAGTTGTTATTTCTGTGTACATTGGCAATGGGTAGGAGGAGAGCAGGTTCATTGGTGCATCAGTTAGACATCACAGAACAAAATGCCCTAAATAGAGGAAATTTACTTTGTCACAAAAGCTAAGACAAGCCCATGTACTCCTACTCTTATTCAAGTTTTATGCTGATCTTTCACAAGGAAAAATAGCTTCATATCATAACAGTTGGGATCAGCAGTACCTCTGCAGTTTGGTTTAGCTGTGGAGAAAAAAGCCCAGCCTCCTTTTCTCCCACAGAAGCCCAGAGGCAATGGCTTTTCCTTGTGATCACTGGTTAAACAAATCACAAAAACAATGTTTTGGGTGTATTCTGCAAAAGTGTTGACTCCCTGCCAGTAAGAAACCCAACCTACTCCTCAGGGTGCTGTTTGCAATGTTGATCTCCATTTTTCATTCCCCTTCAGTGTGCCAAAGAGATCCAACCCTGAGTCTGCACACAGCTCTTGTTGGGATTCACTATGCTGGGAATACCTTTGATTAACATCCCTTTGTTACAGCAGTGGTTCCATGCTGCAATACTTCTGCTACACGCTGTCTCTAGTGGGATGACCAAGCACGTGATAACGAGCGAACAGCTGCTTGAAGGAGCAGTTCTGGATGTAAGTAAGTAAAGACAGAGGTCTGTCTGAGCAGACATGGATAGCACAGATTATAGAGACCTGGTGCATCTAGCCAAGGGAACTGGGGAGGATGTTCCTCTTATTCTAAAGCAACATCAAAGACAGATAATATAATGCATACCTCAAAACTCATGATCCCTCTCCACTGACTGTCAGAGCAGAGGAGGGTGATTAGCTCAAGTGTGGGTGTTGTCTCTACAGAGGTGTGAGTTCAGATTAGATAAACTGTACCCAAGGACCGCAAAGGTACAGTTTGGTGCATGGGAGAACC